TTCCATAGCTAAAGTGCTTGTGCAGTAACTATTTATGCTACACATTGTCAATGGCCTTTGAAATATCTCATGTGAATATCCTTGAGATGTATTTGTTGTCTAGTGCCTTACTATTTCTGTTATTAATGGCAGATAGGATATCAACATTGGATCAGGCTCATCAAAACCTCTATTTTTTGTTGCTAGAGATTTTTTTTTAGTCATTTCACCCGAAGCAAGGGGGAAATGCCACTAGTAAGCAGTGGATTACAGAGAGTGAAAGTGAGAGGAAAGATTGAATTTAGGGGTGGGGGGATTTAAGAAAGAAAAAAAAAACAAAGAACGGGATTCAAGAAGATAGCGATTGACGTTGCATTTAATTATTTGAAGTTTGTAGGGAACGCAGTAAACTGGAAAGGAGTTCTGCAGGTGGAAAGTGCCAGGGTTGGAGCAGAAGTAGGGATTGCATTTAGCTATTAAACAGTAAACCGTGTGACCTAGATGGCAATCTAGTAGTACGCTTAAATTCATGTAGTCGGACACCAGGGTAAAGAGCTCGTCAGAGCAATTGCCATGAAAATATTTGTAGAAAAGACAGAAGGAAGCCACGTCATGTCGGTGGGAAATTAACAAGTCGAAATATCTAGTCAGGATCGATTACATTACAGATCCTTCTTTGGAATAAAGAACCTTGAGATGAATAGCAGGAACACCAGACCGGATATGGCAGCAATATTCAAATTAAGGACGAATGGTAGATTTCTAAATGTGCTCTGACGAGATAAATTTTCTGCCACGAAACAGTGACCCATCTTTCTTTGCAGGAGATGCAGCTATTGATTTGATGTAGTCGCTCCACTTTAAGGCAGTTGAAAACGTGAAACCAAAAAGGTGCAATGTGTTGCTCTCCAGGAATCTAGCGTCCGTTACGCTGAAGGCAGACAGAAAATGTTTCTCTATGGCAGTTATGCATGAACGAGTATTTTATTAGTTTGGGAATACATTGGAAAATTCAATTTCAACGTCTAAAGACATTTTACTGAAGCCTTAGCATGTTACTTGTATGGTTGGTGCTTCAAATATTTTCTTTCTTTTTTTTTTAAACAGTTAATAATTCACAATATTCATCTGTTTACGTGTCTGATGTTCGTGTAGATCTTGGGGAATTATACCGACTGATATAAGTACAGATTTCGCTACGATCACTCACACTTACGCAACTATTTTGCATTACAAAGATTTAAAGACTGAACCTCTTAAAACATTAATTATGATAGCAAATTCCTGTGTATTAACAAAAAAGTAATTTTTGTATTCATAAAATTCAGGAAATATATAATAATGACACCGTTGTACAAATTAATTGAAACAAAACGAATAATTCCGTTATTATTTACTTTTTTTCGTATTTTTCCAATGAAACATGCTCTAGTACACATGTTCGTATGTTCATTAAACGAAGTCGTTCCTTGAAGATTAACCACAGATTTAAATTAGGAGAGATTCCAAACCAGTCGATATTACTTTGATTTGATCACTGGTAAGCCTTGCCAGTTTGTGCGTGCAGCGTTACAATTTACGCTTCCTTGGAGTAACGTCCATCGCAGACAATGGCCGGAGGACAGCGAAACAGTCAAGACAATAGTGTCTGGACTTGATTAAAACCTGATGCAATATTTTTCAAGGCCTAAAAAATTTCACCAAAAATCTCGAAAGCAGATTCCTATTACTGCACACCACTGCAAATGACCTAATCTGAGGAAAAATAGAAATTGATTACACCTTGTCTCTCCAGTGGGTCTAAAACTGACCTTATGGTGAAAGAAAGGAAACTGAAGCGGTTCTTTCCATTGATTTGCACAAGGGTGTATGTTACTTAAGTATCAATACAGATTTAAACCATGCTACACCGACATAGGAACTTCTTGCATCTTACGTGTGCATTTATAATGACATACCTTAATATACCATTAAGACCACACACCTGTGTAATTATATTAATTGAACTTCGCTTAGCGCAACACAAAGACCACACATCTATGTACAGTAGAGCATAGGTTGATTTGCCATGAGATTACGCACGTGTCTTTTCGGCATATATTTGATTGCTACGTACATGTTCTGGAAATGTAAAATGATTATTTTATTATTTTGCTAACATTTTCAGGATTGTTTAAATTAGGAATTATTATTATTATTATTATTTTCTTTGATTTCTGGTGTTTACACATTTCTTTCCGGGTCCCGCCCAGGAACCTAAGGTTAGAAATAGCGTCATGACTCTTTCCACTGACAAAAAAAAAAAAAAATTACATAGATAAAGCCCTTCGTAAAGTGTGGGCTGTACTTGTTAGAACAATTTTTTTGTATCTCCTTGAGGCATGGACTTCCAGGAATCCCTTCAATTAGTCTACTGCAATCTTTTCCAGCCAGTCCTAGGGCTCCAACTGCAACAGCGATTTTTGATGTTCCCATATGCCACATTTTCGAGATTTCTATTTCAAGGTCCTTGTATTTTGACAGCTTTTTGAATATCTTCAAAGATACATTGCAGTCAGTAGGGACTGCCATTTCAACAAGGAGGCACCGTTTTTGTTTCTGGTCTTTAATAACAATTATTATTATTATTATTATTATTATTATATGATTTGCTATTCGGAGCTGCATAATCATCTTGGTTATTATATTTCGCCTGTTATACCGTACAGTCTTCTTCAGTTATCTTTATTTTACTCGGTAAACAGGTTGGAATTTTGAATACACACCTTTAATCGAGTCACGCAATGTCATACCGGGTGCTTTAAATCCATCGACGGGGACACATCGATTTAATAACAGCTCACTTCATATTTGTGTCACCTATCCGTTTCTTGAACTGAACAATAGTAGGTGCGTTTTCAGCACTACCAAATCCAGGGATTGAACTCATAACTGCCAAATGTGCAAAATATGTTTCCACCAATACGTTAATGCATTAGAACATGTTGTAAGGACACACACACACACACACACACACACATTATATATATATATATATATATATATATATATATATATATATATATATATATATATATATATATATATATATATATATATATATATATATTAAATTAATTCGAAATTTAGAATCTTTTAATTTAATGTCTGTACTCAGTTGGTGGGACTGTATGCGTGTCTTAGTTCAGTTGGTGGAGGAATTAGGTAAAGTTCCGCAGCACCTGAAGAAGTTCGGCGAGTAAAATGGCCGAAATGTTGTCGAAAGTATAAAAATCCAAGATGGCCATGCTAATCCGAATTTAGATAAAATACAGTGTCCCTTCAGTAAGCGGGCATTGCTTCACACATATTCAGATAGATAGAAAGATAGATAGAATGATAGATAATGAACTGACGGATAAACAGATAGATTATGAACTGACGGACAAACAGATAGATTATGAACTGACTGATAGATAGATAGATAGATAGATAGATAGATAGATAGATAGATAATAAACTAACATATAGATAGGTAGATATATCGATAAATATTCATCCAGACAGATAATGAACTGACTGACTGATAGATATATAGATAGAAAGATAATGAACTGACTGATAGATATATAGATAAATAATTAACTGCTAGATAGATAGATAGATAGATAGTGTTGTAGAGTAGTTTCACAGTGGAGGCTTGTATTTCACTCAGTCGGTCCTAAATTAGGTTCGACGTACAAAACGTTAAGAACTTGATATAACAGGTAATGACGCAGCAATCTAGTTGTAGCTGATACTTTAATATCTGACTAACGGTCGTCCGACATCGACTGACTGAGCAACTCACTGAGCGACTGGCGACTGCTACTACTCCTAGTTATTATAGGTGGGAGAGTCTATTAAAAATAGAATAGGTGTGTTCCAGTATAACAGATAGATAGATAACAAACTGATAGACAGGTAGATATATCGATAAATGTTAATCCAGATAGATAATGAACTGACTGATAGATATATAAATAAATATATAGATAATGAACTGATAAATGGAATTGATAATGAATTGATTGATAGATAGTTAAGTAGATATATGGATAAATAGATAGGTAGATAATGTACTAACAGATAGATAGCTACATAGATAGATAGATAGATAGATAGATAGATAGATAGATAGATAGATAGTGAAGTCGTAATTAAAATGTTATTCATTGACAGCAACTTGATTCAGACATGTGTCTTTTTTTCAGCTTGATTCAAAGACGCCACAAAAGGTTACACTGTGCGGCGACGACAAACAAAAATGAAAAGTGAGAAAGGATCATTACAACACGCTTTTCTGTTCGGTGAAAGATAAAGAAACGAAAAGACAAAAGTTGAGTAGAAAGGAAAGAGATCAACTTATCGTCCTCACCATTTTCAATAATCATCGCCTGGAGAATTCCATTAGAATCTGTTTGACATGGGAATGTCAAGATTATATTGAACATTTTGCTTTCATCATGTCGCCGGGAAAATTGAATGACAGAACGAAAGAAGAAAATATATAAAACATCTCAAAATATAAATTAAAGACAACTTATCAATATAGGGTTATCAACGTCGTACAGCGGACTAAATAATTGTTAGCTGTTCTGGAGTAGATAAAATGTGTTTTTATTTACGAGATCTTCATTTCTTGAAATTCTAAATTATCAATGTTTATGCTAATTTTATGGTTGCAGAGTGTACCATGAACCGAACAGGTGAGCAACGAAGAAGTTTTAGAAAAAATGGAAACAAAAAAGGACACTTATACTTCACATCAGGAAGAGACGGTTGGAATTTCTTAGGGAACAAAATGAGGAAAGAGGGCTTGGAAAATCTAATACTCACAGGGCAGACTGAAGGCAAAGGGGATCAGAGAAGAACAAGGCGTAATTTAGGAGCGAACTTGTGTAACTGGGTGGGGGAATCAAGGTTTAGGAGAGATACCAAAAAGACATTTATTAAGAGCAGCAAATGACAGGTAAATGGGGCGAGCCATGATCACCAGCGTCTTAAAGGGACAAGGCATGAAGAAGAAGAAGAAGAAGAAGAAGAAGAAGAAGAGGAAGAAGAAGAAAGAGGAGGAAGAGAAGAATAAAGAGGAAGAGTAAAAGCTGGAAGAGGAAGAAAAGAATAAGAAAGGGGAGAAGAAAAAACGGAGGAGGAGGAGGAGGAAGAAGACGAAGAAGAAGAGGGAGTAGGAGCCGAAGAAGAAGATGAAGAAGAGGGAGGAGGAAGAGAAGAAGAGGAAGAATAAAAATAAGAAAAGGAACAAGGAGGAGGAGGGAGAGAAGAAGAAAAATAAGGAAGAGGAAGATGACAATAGGAAGAAGTAAATTAAGAAAAAGAACAAAGAGGTGGAGGAAGAAGAAGAAGAAGAAGAAGAAGAAGAAGAAGAAGAAGAAGAAGAAGAAAGTGGGGAAGATAAGAATAAGGAGGAAGATTAGGAGCAGGAGGAGCAAGAAAAGAAGAAGGGGGAGAAGAAGAAAAAACGGAAGAAGAAGAAGAAGAAGAAGAAGAAGAAGAAGAAGAAGAAGAAGAAGAAGAAGAAGGATGAGCCGAAGAAGGAGGAGGAAGTGAAGAAGAAGAATAGGGAGGAGGAAGAGGAGAAGAGGAAGAAGAAAAATAAGAAAAAGAACAAGGAGGGGGAGAGGGAGGAGGAGGAAGAGAAAATGAAGAATAAGGAGGAGGAAGAGGACAATATAAAGAAGAAAAGAAAAAGAACAATAAGGAGGAGGGAGAGAGGAAGAAGAGGAAGAAGAAGGAAGAGCGGTGGAGGAGAAGGAGGAAGATTTTATATCCACGCCAATGCAAAAAAAGCGCTAAGAAACAAACAAAAAAAAAACAAACAAAAAAAAAAGATAATTTCTAAGGAAATATTGAATTTTATTTTTAATCCATTTTCTTACTATTGTAAACGCTAATTTTAGTGGATAACGAGTGTCTGAGTGACGCGTTTTTGTGTTATTTTTAACAGTGTGAATTATGTCTATCGGCCTGTATATTTGAGAGATTTAACTAAGTAAATTTACCCTCCGGCAGGGTTCGAAACTACGTCTCCTTTTGTAGGAGAAACCACCGTTTGAACCGAAGGGCTTTTGACTGTTCGTCCATAAAATGCGTCACAGCCTAACAATGTTCAAAATGCACATTCGCTTCTTTAGATCTTTTAAAACCACATTATCTTTTTTTAAAAGTCCATATAAGCTGAAGTTTTAATTTCGTATCCGAAAGATAAATAAAGTTAATTCTAAGGAATTAACGGTATTTATTATTAATCCGACATTATTTCTTACTATTGCAAAAATTATTTTTAGTCTATACGCATGTTTGAGTAGACGTCATTTTTGTTTAGTTCGTGAACCGTAATTAGTACAGTGTAACCCGGATATAAGAGAGTTGTCGGGACCGGAAAGAAGTCTCTTATATCCGGGTTTCTCTTATATCCGGGTTTGGTCTATGTTATATACATTAACACAGGCTCTAATTTGGGACCAGAAAAAAATCTCTCTTATATCCGGGTTTCTCTTATATTCGGGTCTCTTATATCCGGGTTACACTGTACTACTAAAAAAAACAAAACAGATCTACACTAAACACAAGTAACTATTAATATTTGCCACGCAACTAAAATTTGTATTCAGTTATTATTTGGTGATTTACGCTTTCTAAAGCTGAATTCGATTTTCATTTTTGTATTTCAATATGATTATGATTCTTAAACATCTACTTTTAGGAAGACACGGACATGAAAAATCTGGTAAGATGAGAAATCAGCGGACGGAGATAAACACCTGCTTCCCTATTTAACTAAATAACTAGAGAAAGATATGAAAGAAAGACGCAAACACTATTTTCAAATAGAAAAGGAATTTGAAATAAATAGAAAAAAAAAACAGTTGTGTATATAGCTGGATGCTTAGATGATTTTCTGAACACTAGTACACATATTATTAGTACTAGTATTAGTAGTTTATTATTAGTACTATTATTGTTATTATTAGATATTCAAACATTCACCTCTTATATTTCAAATATCCACCCTGTCCGAAGCCACTTTGTACAGTGTTTGAAAAGCAAAGAATAATTTTTATCCACCGGGTAATATTTTGTGATGAAAGCTAAACTGCAGTGATAATCCCAAATGATTTCGTACAAGTTTGGAAGGAAAAACTATCTGGATTATCTTCAATTACCAAAAGTATATAGATATTTGCAATCGAGACTTTGTCACTGACTGGATTTGAAGAAAGATTAATTGTGGAGAAAAAAAATCAAATGTTGCAATATATACATATACTAAGATATTCTTACTTTTTGGATTGCCTCTATTATCCAGGGATACAGGCTTTATAAATTTGTTTTCCAATTAAACAATGGTCTTTGTCATTCTAAAAGACCCACTAGAAAAAAAAATAACAGTTAGAAAAGGGCTTTGAATTCTTATTCTGATCGAACCTCAATTAAACCATTGACGGTTTCATATAATAAAAAAGACACTGATATCTAATAAGGAGAGCTCGTAAAATATCATCCTAAAATAGCAGGATTCTTTATCTGTTGATATACTAATTTTAAGACTTCGACATGTTGATATAATTTGATATGAATAATAAAGAGTGGTATCGCTTGTTACTCTCCTATTTGAGAGAGCTATTTCTGTTTACTGCGACTATAAAAGGACACTATACGCGAAAATTGTATACTCAGTTGAATAAAGCTTTCTTAAAGCCTGTACATGCGTAATTTTGTAATTACATAATCGTAACGAGATTCCCTGTGTTGATATAATTATATCGGGACACTCCAACTGTTGATATAAAAGTTATGCGATTTTGTCCCCGATGCTTGAATAAAATAAAGACTAAGATAATTTCGATAATTACAGTTTGTAGAATGTCATCCAAAAATAGTGGGATTGAATATTTGTTGTTATTTTATAAAAACTGAGAGATACGCAGTTAATCTAGACTGACAAACAGAAGAGGGATAATATTAGATATTATTCTATTGTGTTCTATAGAAATCTTTTACGTGCTTTTATAATATTATTGTTACCTTCACTCCTACACCGGATTCATCTGTAGAATTCTTGAATGGAAAGAGTGTGGGATTTAGATTTTTGTTTGTTCTTTGATGATCTCTTAAAGCCATACCTATGTACTTGTGCAATGATCATATTTTTCTTATTTAAGAGGGCGCATCTTCATTTTCTGGTTAACAGGTAGATATTCTCATGTATAAATGCCGATATAGTTCGAATCTCCTTGTGAGCTGCACTATTTTCTTTGTGCGAGGCCAACCATTGCAAATGATTTAATTTGATTATGCATTTAAATTTTATTACCTCTCAGGCTTTTTCAGCGTATCTATGGCACTTTCCAAGGAGCACTTACACATACATTCAGCATCGCCATCATCATTATCATCATCCCCTTGACTTTTGTAATCGTAGGGGGAGGGGATCCGAATGTAGAAGCCACACTAAATATCCTCCATAACGGTCTATCAACGGCAACAATCACCAATTCTTGTATAGTAATACCTGTCTATTGCTTGACATTGTCCAATCAGTTTTTACGTTGCGTCCACCTTCAACGATGCCTTGCATGATAGTCTTGCACAGGCTGTCATGCGGAGATCACGACATTTAAAAATGCGCGGCTTAATAATGTTAAATGTGTCTTGTTTTTTTTTCTTTTTCTAAAGTAGCCAGCCATGTGTCATCTTGTTATATTTTTTATGTCATCATCATCATCATCATCATCATCATCATCATCATCATCATCATCATCATCTTTACCTTTGTAATCTTGTGGGGATTCGAACGCAGAAGCCACTCTAAACCTCCTTGATCCTTTGACTGTGGCGAGGTTCCTGGTATCCCACTAAACTTTCAACCCTTTTCGGCACAAACCCATTTTTTCAAACAGAAAGATGCCAAAGATTTTTCTCATGCATTTCTTCTCAAAGGTATCGGCCCATTTCTCTGTTTCTGCCAACAGGGTACACGTTTCATATCCTATAGGAGAATAGAAACGACCCGCGATTTATACAGTCTGTAATTCGTTTGAATGCCGGGTTTGTTCCACTATATTCCTGCCAATTTGGCCATCCCTGCGTCAATCCGTCACACATATATTAAATTTAGTCATTTGCGATCGTCTATTGTTAAATATAATTTAGACGATCATAAATTACTAAATTATTTACGGATTTAAATTTTATTGCCGAGTAGACTTTATCTGTATTTATATGGAAATTTCTCGTGCTGTTATGCATTACATCATCTGCACATAAGGATTTGTGTTCGTTTCAAACACTTGAAAAATGCCCCTGGTTAATGTATGAATCAGTTTCCTCCAGCAGATACGGGTTAAATAGCAGAGGAAACTTGCTCTGGGTACCACCTCATGGGTTTTTCTGTTGGGTTGGCGTTTGCCAAGGCTTTATGTTTTCTCTAGTCCTCAACCACGTAGACGACATAGGATGTTTAAAAAATGAGTGTCAACTCAAATAGGGGTAACGGGTATCCACGAAACATAAAGTTTGATGTAAGAAAAATATATGTCGAAGTCGAATTAAAATACATTAATTCTTCAAATATATATATATATATATATATATATATATGTAAGAAAAATATACGGGAAAAACAAACAAAAATCCTTATATACAATTATGCTGTTTTTAATGTTAATATATCCGACGTTGACATATTAACATTAAAAACAGCATAATTGTATATATGATTTTGTTTGTTTTTTCCGTATATTTTTTTCATATATATATATATATATATATATATATATATATATATGGTACGATGTGTAAATTGTCGCTATTTTATATTTTTTTATTTCGTGCAATCGAGTTCTTTGCTTTTGATTTCGTTGACTGCACATGCAGATAACTATGGTCACTTAGTCAGCATCTGTGAGAAAAAGAGCGTCATGAGGCAATTCATTCCGCCAGAAATTTGGAAAAAAGTCATGCTTTACTGCTTGGCATTTACACCGGAAGCTCCAATGCAAACATTTCAGTATTTTAGCGTGCCAATGCGAGGACAGTGCAGATGATTCGGAAAGAGTTGGATGAGTCTAATGGTGATTACTGAGGTACGGCAGCTCGGAAAACTCAATCGTTCTGATAAGAAAAGAACTCCCAAAGAACTCCCGGATATTTTGGCGAAGACCTCAGGACCAACACGGAGGCCTATATCAAGTGCCTGATTCAAGAAGGTGGCTGCTGAAATCCCTAAGTCTGGTAACGGGACTCTGCACAATGCCACACAAGCAGGAGAACATTGTCATGGCTGTCAGATTATTTCTGCGATCACATCTTCCCTTACATTTGACCACTTAACTGCCCAAACTACATCCGCCTTGTGCGGGGCGCAGTTGAGTGAAAGACCAACAAAACTCCTTGTAACACCAATAATGAATTGAAGTCAAGGATTATCGCAGCATTCACCAACTTAACAAGGACACAGGTCCAGAAGAGTTGCAGAAGATTCCGAAGTCATCTGGACGCTGTGGTTGAAGCCAATGTCAATTTTAGTGAATAAATTTATTTTTAGTATTTGAAGATAATTTTGTGTAATTTTGGTAAATATATCTGTTAAAATAAGATGTCAGTGTTATTTTTATATTTTCGTAATATATGTATATATAAAGACATTTTTTTATGTTTATATGTTCTTTTTATAGATACAAATATTTATGTAAATGCTCTGTTTATAATAAACAGTATTAACATCATTTACCGGTCTGAATGTCCGAGAAATTTTCATAGAAAATATGCGTCCTCTAACAGGAATCGAACGTGTTCTTTTATAGATACAAATATTTAAGTAAATGCTCTGTTTATAATAAACAGTATTAACAGTATAAAAAAGAACGTATAAACATAAAAAATGTCTTAAAATAATTGTTGGACTTTGTCCATTTCATAATGTGTGACATCATTTGTTTACGTTTGGATACGCATCGAGCAGATATAAATGTATGAGAGAAAATCATGGAGAATTGTCGTTTAAAAACAGTAAAATTGACCTTGCTAACCGAACGCTCTTCTGTGGTCCAATCGGTAAAGGCACGTCAGGCTATATAACGGTTCCGTATAGGATACAGGTTCGATTCCTGTCGGAGGACGCATATTTTTTTTCTAGCGGACATTCATTTCATATTTTTTTTTATATATATATTATATATATATATATATATATATATATATATATATATATACTAAACTTTTTACGATGTCCATTTCGCCCTTTTTTGCACACACATACAGACAAATATACACAAGCATACGAAAACACCACTTCAGAAAACGTTGTTCAATGTCAATGTGCCATCTTCGTTTTCTCCTTGGGGAGGTGCTTACTTCTGTGTGCTAAGCTGTATATCACCCAGTAAAAAAATAGAGGTTTCAGTTTGTTTAAGCACGTGTACTTATACAAGTATAGAACTAGATTTCCGTGTCTCTGTCGAATTTGCCCGAAAGAAGACACTGTGTATATTTAATCACCCGCCATTATGGCACAGAACTGTCGTTATGGGCGACATTCTCTAATCTAATAAACACGTCGCTTGCGTAACGAAAAACTTTCTAGCGAAGGGACGCACTGAGATACGATACTTCTGCTAATCATTTGAATCAGGGGAACAATTTGACAAACACATTTTGTCAGCAAAGTTATATTAAGAAAAGAAAATGCAATATCTAATTGCGGACGTTGCAGAAGAGTGGAACTGATTGACGAGGTAGTGTTTAAATATAGTAAAAATTACAAAGCTGTGGATTTCGACATTTCTATGGTTTAGTACTTTATGGTTTGACGTGTTATTTTTTAGTAGATTGTTTTTAAATGTCAGCAGAGTACCTTTCGTTTCGATGATATCAGCACATAATGAGCCGTGCGAAATAAATTAAATTTATATTTTCACCGGGTTTACGTGAAATTAACGGAAATATATACAAGAAGTACCATATATTTAAGTATATATTTAAAATTGTTCACTCAGTATACCGACGTCCATACGATATATATATATATATATATATATATATATATATATATATATATATATATATATATATATATATATATATATTGTTCTGTAGAAAGACTGACTCACCTTTTCTCCATTTCTTATTTAAACATAGACTCCGCATTTCGCTATGAGTAAAACGTCTGCTCATAGAACAGTGGCTAATGTTGGGTCGCAAAGACGTAGCTCTTGTCAGCCGTACGCTTTTGGCTCTATATTCTCAATATATGGCCTCATGAGATTAAACCCTTCTTCACTCAACCCTTTATTTCTAGTGTTTTCATTAGACGTTTATTAACCATTAACCATTAGGAAGTATAACACACACACACACACACACACATATATATATATATATATATATTATGAAATGGACAAAGTCCGACAATTATATATTTTCTTTTTATAGATACAAATATTTAAGTAAATGCTCTGTTTATAATAAACAGTATTAAACAACATTTACCGGCCTGAATATTTAAGAAACTTTCATAGAAAATATTCGTCTTCCGACAGGAATCGAACCTGTATCCTATACAGAACCGTCATGTAGCCTGAAGTGCCTTTTGTAAAATCGACCTTGCTAACCAAATGCTCTTCTGTGACCAAATTGGTTAAAGGCAGAAACAAAAGCTAAAATGGATAGTACATGGAATTCGATTGCGACTAGCATGAAACAGACTGTCGCCTCTGTTGACTTCTATGTTCACTTTTATATTTACATACGCTCTATATCTATCCCTAAAATATAGCATACCTTAAGACTATATTTCTTCATATATATATATATATATATATATATATATATATATATATATATATATATATATATATATATATATATATATATATATTCTATAAAATAGTCTGAAATGCTCATAGTATATATTTGAAAAATTACAACTAAACAGTTTAAAAACAAGTATATTATAACCTTCTAAGTTACCTCCCTTATAATATTTTTTTAAATGATGAAATTGTCGTTATGTTCACGAGCACATTAACAATTGTAACAATACAACCGCAAAAAATTTCTTTCAACAAAAATTTTCAAAATCAGCGTTTGTGACTTTGTGCATGATCTTAAATGATTGTTAACCACAAAAGCATTACTTTATTTCGGACAAACACAATTATTTGTCTTAGCCATCACAACCCTGATGATGATAGTGGACAATATCGAAAGTATTGGGGAAAATAAAAATGAATAAATATAACCACATTTTTTTCCTTGCCGTCTTGTCTTTAATCATGAATCAAGAAAGTGATTACGAAAGGATTTTATTGAAAATAACCACAACACGTCTAAATTGGTTTATTAGACAAGTTCAAATGAAAATATGCTGCCATAATATATGCTGTATATATATATATATATATATATATTGTTAAAAAGAAAAAGACAACATTTGGATTTTTACATTGAGCTCTCTGGATTATATCCTCTTTGGAATTACCTATACGGATTACCAAAAATAATATTATTATATATATATATATATATATATATATATATATATATATATATATATATATATATATATATATATAATTAATGGAGGTTATTTATAATCTGACATTATTTTTATGACGGCAAACGTTATATTTTCGTGGATAAATTGTTTGAATAGACATCCTTACTTTTTAAAAGGTTTAAATCTTTGCCTAGCAACAGGTGCATTCGAAAGTCTTAATAAGGAACCTTACTCGCAAGCCACCAGTGGCAGCCACCGGCGGGGTAACGGTAGGCCGCGAGTGATAACATTGCCGAGCCGAACACGCCGGCCGCCCAACAGCACTGGTGGCTTGCGTGTAAGGAAACTGTGCCTCTCCCCACATTTTCTTTATAAAGACTATTTTATTTCTTAAATAGGGTAATTTAACTTTGCTTGATTCTGAAAGTCTTCTGTGGTTGACCTGTCGAGAAGCACTCTGAATTTTATTATGATTTCACCCACAAGTCATACACAGTTTTCAGCTTACCAGAAATCGCGTTTTCTTCATTAAAACACTCGAATGCACAAGTAGATATAGATTTACACACACAAAAAAAATGTTTACACAAACATATGTATTCACTAAATACAATGTTTAAATAAAAAATAAGTCTTATCTCCCGAATGAGCAGTTTTTATATAAGAAATTTTAAAATAGATATTATGGGAATATTAGCTTTTTCTTTCTAAGAAAACTTTCAGCATTCATTAAATGATCATCCGTTAGTACTATTGGTGGAAGTTTGTAAAATCTTTCATTTTAAACAATTATTCAGGAAAATAGATTTGGCAAGTCCAGTAGCCACAGTAATGGTTGAGGTTTCCTTCCCAACGTTTTGTTTGAAATCCTGTGGAACGTCATCTTGATTATGTCATCATTATTTCTTCAAGTTACATGTGCTATCCATTTTAACTGTTGCTTCTGTTGAAAGTCCTCAAATTATCTTGTTTCTATTATCTGGTATATTTCTTTCTTTGTGTTTCTCTAGCGCCAGTCCACAAAATTCGAAAAAGATGATCTTCGCCAAAATTCCCAGGTTTCAGTCTCTGAAAGCCATGCTTAACCATTGATCTTAGAAAGTGATTGTACACAGCTGTCAATTTAGATATATATGAACGGGCCTGGCGCCATGCATGACATCCATATGAAAGTTTCGATCTGACGAGGCTATTTAAGAACATGACGTGGGGATTCAGGCTCATGCTTTGGTAGTGTAGCAATTTGGTGTGTTGGACGAAACTACCATCAGAGCAGCCTTTTCTATACTTTCTTTATCTCCTGTACTAAATTTGTTATAACTCATCCAAAATAGTATAGCCCCATGGTCATCAGAACATTGACCACTGGAGAAAAAAGCAGGGTAGCTATCTTCTCTTAGTTGATACGTTTGGGATGTGATATGGAATTCTTAAATGAACAGTGTCCATAATAAATTAATTTATCTTGCCCCTGTGAAGTGGTTCATTATTTCTTAAGCTTTATGGCTCAAGGCTACGAATAACGAGCATCCAATTAATGTTAAAACCATTTCCGTAATAATGGTCTCTACGTCTAGATTTCTAAACATTCATTTAAAATCATCCATAATGTTCTTCTTTTATGTACCGTACGCTTCATGACGTGGGCAGTTATGACTCTCCATAACTTCCTACCTGTTGTAATTCGAAACAGTGTTTGTATCTCTCCTATTCCTCCCAATGCTTGTTCTGCCTTGCATTTAAACAAGCTGGTTAGTAAGGTTATTCACTGCTTCCTTCTATCCTCTTGATTTCAATATATTCTGTGAGTGCCAAATTCGCCAAGCCCACTCTCCTCATTATGCGTTCCAGAAAATTAAATGTTTCCTTTCAGTTCACATTAAAATATCCTCATTAATCACGTGCTTCGGACATAATTTTCTCAGTCATTCTGTGTCGCATTCTCCGACGTCTGTTGTAATAATTGTCAGTTAAATATCTGTATTTGCTTTATTCCGATGTCTCTGGTTCTTAGGCCGCTCTTGTATTATTCATCTTCCTAAGGAACATATTACTGATGATTATTCCTTTTTTATTACCTTGTATTGGAGTTCTTGCAGTTTTATTTCTGTGTCTGGAACCAGCACACTGTCATCAGCGTTTAATATTCTGTTTAGCTTTCTAAAGAAGATTACGTGCCTAATTCCAAATATTCATCTGAAAGTCACAAGCCAAACAGATTTAGTTGAAGAGCATGGCGAAATTGCTTCTATTTTAGACACAGGTGCAGCAACTAAAATATATTCCACAGAGAAACACTCTTAAAGATGAAGTATTTAACTATATTTTACGGCTGGGGAGATTATGTACTTGAGTAAATTCCAAAGGTAAAGCTAAACGGAACAAAGATTAAGCAGATGAATAAATTTTCTTTCCATGTAGCAAAAGAATCTCTTTCACATGAATGTCTTTGGAACCCTTAATCATTATAACCAAAAGAGATGATATTTTATCTGGCCTTTTGATGGAACACCCAAACGTCACGTTTTCTGGTTTGACCCATGGCCGAAGGGGTCAAGAGTTAGAACTCAGAAGCAACAGAATGATATTTACAAAGCGAACAGCTTTATTCCTGAACAGCAACGTTTGAGTGGCACACTTGGAAAAAGCAAATATAATCTAAAGACAAGACATCTCAGGTGTTATTACACAGAATATGATTTTCATAAATATGCGATTATCTGCTCGTGTTTTCAGTGTTTTCGAAAATACGTGGATGTGCGGGTGGTGTAATGGATAACGGCTCGGAATTAGAAACCGGAGAGGCCGAGTTCGAATTTTATTCCGGTTCATGATATTCCCTTACGCGCAAATAGACTTCGAAAATGTATAAATCTATCTTCTCCTGGCAGCTATGGGTTAAAAAGTAGAATTTTTAGCATGGGAAGTCATTAATGTTGTAACGCAATATTCCCTCGATTAGAATATGATTATTCATAAAATCCCAAAAGGTTGTTGTCAGCAGTGCTTCCATAGAAGCATATCTATGTTGCAGTAGGTCTCTCAGGAACTTGTTTAGGTTTAGTATTCACTGCCATATAGTAGAACCGATATTACATAGCAAGGCAGCACTCTTTTTTGCTCCTCACATAGGTTTTATTGATTCTTAACACACACACATATCTATCTAATTGTCAAACCTTATATATTGGTATAATGGAATATGCATACACCTGAGTTCCCCCTCACTGGAATATGATTGGCTTGTGTCCGTCATAAATACAAACGGACGTGTAGGCATGACAGAGTTTAAATCTATGACGACGCCCATTAGACTATGCCATTGGTTATCCTATTGGTCTACATCTATTAACTGCGATTACGACAAGTACCAGTCGATTATTGCAACCAAGTACTACTTGGTTACAGTAGCCAAAACAACTTAGCTACTTCGATCAAATATATCCCTTTCCAGGACATATATATATATATATATATATATATATATATATATATATATATATAATATAAATGACAATAGGAAAACTGTAATACTTGCCGATGCGTTTCGTCTAATGAGAACTTTTTCAATGCAAAAAATGAAATGAAGTTACTTAAACAAAGTAACAAATAATAATAAAAACAAAATGTCCTTAGCAACTGGAAGAATTTAGAGAATGCTATTTTCATACTGTTAACTGAAAATTACGTCAATTACTGTCACGTGAGGAGATACTGTTATTATTGATGTGTTGACGGATTCAAACATTTTCTTTTGATTTCACGATATTGTTGTGGACAAAATCAACTTAGCTAATGCCCTATTCATACATAGAAATAAATTCAACCACAATTTTGATTTAGAAAAAAAAAACTATACTCATAAAAAACGAAAATAACTCACTCAGAAGGAAAATCTTAGAGAGTGCGCCATTGAATATTACCCAAATATTAATCTACGCCCAGGCTTTTTCCCTGTTTCACCTTTCTTAACAGAATTACTACTCTCCCAAACAAACGTAATTCAGCAACATTCTTTATCAGTACTCATATTGCAATTTTTGCTGTTATCATTGTATTTTTTACCAGAGATCATATTGCAATTTTTGTTGTTATTAGCGCTTTTCTCTGGCACTCCTTATTACTGGTTCCCATATTGTATTCATCTCTACGCTTGGTCGACTCAGGAGCTTTTTGTGGTCTAGCATATGTGTGGATTCCTTAAGTTTACGAATTTTCCAATGGTGTTCTTTGTCTATGATTTCAACCTGATCCCACAGTGGGCGGTGATCTCCCTTATATGAATAAAAGAGATGAAAATACAGAACTCTCAATGAGGGTCACTTCAACGAACGTCTATTTAATGTCAAGTTCATTGGAGACCGAAAGTTAAATTCATATATAAACTCAATTCGTAAAGAAGCTGGAAAAAAATTTCGGACCACTATCAAACTATTACTTGCATCATTTAACAACTGACTAGATGTAATTTTCGAGAGCAGCTATCAGTTTTACTTTGTCGGGTATATGAAATCGTTTTGTTGTCAGTATAAACTTGGAAACTGAGGACACTGAGAGAGTCGTTGATGAAAAGAGGAAACAATGTAGGTCCAAGGAATTAGTCGGTGGGGGGGAGATTTCTTTCTTTTAAAAAAAACAAAACATTTACTATTTTGTATTATTTGTCAAGTAGTTTGTAATCTTCTTTTAATTGCCTTGTTCATTTGCCGCGAAGTGTAGAAGGTGTGTATGTAAACATCATAAGAAATATGCTTTTCCTCAGTAAGAGTTTCCCGATAAAATGATAGTTTGAAGCAACAAGGAAGCAAATGAAAATATCATAAAAATATGTTTGAGGTCAAAGTAATGTTGAAATATTCCGAGTATAACACAATTAAGTCTGTCCGTCAGGATCAAAACATATTTAAATACAACGTGTATCGCCTTTCTTCCAGTGAGTCAAATTTTATTTTTCAACATTTCTTTGGTGTTTTAGATTTAATTAATTCAGGGTACTCTTTATGCAGGGAATTTCCATACGAATATCTATGCATCTCATGCCTAATAGCATGCGAGCTGAAACATGTTTACTCCCGTCTATGTTTCGGGACTCATCTAATAAGAACTTAGATAAATTTTGTTAATTTCTCAGTTTTGGCGTGTAAACTTTCCGCCTTGTTTTTAACAGACCGTTTGTATAAATCGTAAAATAAGATATTTACAAAGGAGATTAAAAAAAAAAGAATTATCTAAGTATTAAAAAGGAAGCATATGGAATATTTAATAATCACTAAAATAAAAAGAAATACTTACGCGACATAAGTTTTCCTGTATGAATCAAATCCTGTTAATATTACAAAATATGAACATTTGATTAACAAACTC